ATAGCTCCGAGTTCTATTGTTGATGATGATGAAGAGATATGATTTTTGTTGTTGTTGATATATATGTTGAATCTCCGTTATTGAATATATGTTTATTGTTTTTTTTTTTATATTTTGGTCGGGGAATTTTCGGGTCAGGGAAACCCGATCCCCGTTAGGGAATGGGGGTGGGGGCGGTGATAGACTCCCCGTCGGGGATCGGGGCTGGGGACGGGAAAACTCCTACCATCGGGGATCGAGGACGGGGAGTGTGATCCTCGACCCCGCCCCGGCCCGTTGCCATTCCTACTCCAAACCCATTTATTAGAATTAAAAAAGGTCGGAATCAATCCGGTCATTAGGTTTTTGTCATTCTTATTAATGAAAAATAAATTGAATACAACGGTGATATAAGTAAATATTTTAGAATAAAATCAAAAATTTCCAATTATCTTAAAAGGACCACTAAACATTTATTTGGAGCTTATTTGGTATGAACTTAAAAAGTATACTTATTTATTATTTTATTTTTTTGTATTACATTACTTCTTTATTTTTATTTTTTTTTGTATATTATTTTGTAAAGAAATAAAAATTACACTAATGTGAATTATCTCAAATAACTACTTCATCATTAATTTCAATACTTCAAAATTAATCAAAACACATCTACACTGACTCAAACATCTTATTATAAAAACGATGGTGTTACATACATCAATTAGTGTACAAATTAATGTATTAACATTAGTTATGATATTATTATTGATTCCACTCAGTATATAAATTATAAATATTAAAAATTTCTTAAATTATATCACTTTATCAATTGATATACTAATTAATTAATACATATAATATTATACTTATTAAAAATGGTGATATTTAACCTTGAACATTTATGACTGTTGGCGACGTTAATTAATGACAACCGTTACATGGTCTGATAATGACAACCGTTACAACAATATGCGTTTTTGAGAAAATCAATTTTTTTTTTTGGTTAAAAACATTAAACTCAAACATTCAAGTGGCAACCGTTACAACAATATGGGTTTTTGAGAAAATCACTTTTTTGTTAAAAAATTAAACTCAAACATTTAAGTGATTATTTTTTTATATAATTTTTATTTTAATGATATATTTAAGTTTATAAGTGAAAATGGAGAATTAAACCGTTCACAAAATTATATTTTAAAATTTATTGGTGTTTCACCTTAACACTTAACATTCATTTTCACTAATTTATGTTCATCTTATATCTTTTAATTCTCATTAATTATAAATTATTATTTGTAATATCTATTTTTTTAATACTATATTTTTTGTAGTTACAAAATTTATCTAACCTCACTCTAATTTGCTTCACCCCAACTATGGAATAGGGCGCGGTATGACCTTACAAATCACATCATTGCCATCTCTTGTGAAAACGGTACTACTTAATGACACATTTAGGGGGTGTTTAAGGTGTTCTAAATAAGTGTATTTTTTATCTTTTTAGATTAAAAAAATTAAGGAAAAAAATATGGATGTTTGGGTTAATTTTTTGAATTTTTATGAAAAAATGTGTATTAAAAAATTGTATAAATTAGTGTGTAGGGAAAAATTAAGATTAGGAGTTGTGCAGTCGTAATTTTTGACTTTTGGTGAATAGAAATAATTTTTTAACTTTTTAAATAACTTTTTAACTTTTTGACAACTCGTCAAACTTGACCTTATAATTTATTTTAGCAATAATTTATATTTATCACATATTTATATGATATTACCGTTATCATTTTACTTCTTATTATAATATTAATGTAATAAATCTTACCACTTATGTACATTTTTCCTGTAATACACAATTGGACTGACACATTAGATGATAAAATAAGATAGTAGAAATAAGGATGAAACATCAATAAATTTTAAAATGTGATCTTGTGAACGGTTTAGTGAATCATTTTTTCTTATAAATCCAAAGGTTTTATTAAAGTGAAAATTACATAAACAAGTAGTTACTTACATGTTTGGATTTAATTTTTTAAGAATAAAAGTGATTTTTCAAAATGTAAAATTACATATTTGGGTAATTTGCACAATAGAAGTTTTAATTTTTCTCTCATTCTAGAACAAATCATACATTACAAACAAAAACCTAAACTTTAATGTAACACTCAAATAACGTAACATGTCAATGTAACACATTAAAAATCTCATTGGTGTACTTTTTTCCAAATATAACAACGTAACACTCAAAAAAAATATTTGTGTACTTTTTCCAAACGTAACGCTCTAATTTTAAAAAAATTATATTTCTTAGTGTACTTTTCCTAAACGTAACACTTCAATCAGTGTAATCTCAAATGTAACACTCTAATATAATATACTCCAATGTAACACATAAAAATGCTAAAAAAACTCTTTAGTGTACTTTTTTCAAACGTAACACTCACAGTTTGAAATTATACATTTATTCAAAACTTACTAAGGAATATTTGTACTCCTTTTGGAATGATTTGAAGAATTTCACATTTTTTTAGTATTACATTGGAGTGTTACATTTAGGAAAATACCCTAAAAAGTTTTTTTTTTTTTTTTTTTTTTGGTGCGTTACGTTTGGGATATGTATACCAAAGAGTTTTTTTGTGTGTTATATTAAAGTGCTACACTAAAAAAAAAATTTGGAGTGTTATATTGAAGTGTTATGTTTGGAAAAAAATACACTAAGCAATTTTTTTGTGTGTTACATTAGAATGTTATATTAAGAATTTTTTTTAGAATATTATATTAGAGTGTTACATTTGGAAAAAATACATCAAAATTTTTTTTGTATGTTACATTAGAGTGTTACACTAAGGAGTTTTTGTGTGTGCTACATTAGAGTGTTATATTAAATAATTTTTTTGCATGTTATATTAGATTGTTACGTTTGGAAAAAAATATATTAAAGAGTTTTTTGTGTGTTACATTAGAGTGTTACATTAAGGAATTTTTTTGTATGTTATATTAGAGTGTTACGTTTGGAAAAAATATACTAATGAGTTTTTTTGTGTGTTACATTAAAGTGTTACAATAAGAAATTTTTTTATGTGTTACTTTAGAATGCTACACTAAAGAGTTTTTTTTTTAGTGTTACGTTTGGAAAAAGTATAATAATGAGTTCTTTTTTGTGTTACATTAGTATTACGTTTGGATGTTAATTAATGTCAATGTTACAATAGGGATGAATACTACAAAAAGGAACGAAACACCACACCAATAACACCACAAACAAGGTAACATCGTCCACCTACAAATCACTCCACTAAATCTTCACAAAAAAATAGAAACGTAAAACCTACCGCATCCACGCACACCCAACATTAAGAAAAATGATTAAGGGTCACTGTTGTGTCTCAATTTGAGATATATTATGGGATTGTGTTTTATGATCTGAACTGTATAATTTATAGAGTTTGTTGAGTACTTCGTGCCTACCAAAAATCATATTAATCGGATATCAATAACTATATGATCGAATTGCATATTTTTTATGCTATTTCTCAAAAGAAAAACTTATTGTTTATTTTTTTGATTATTGATCATATAGTTATTGATATCTGATTAATATGATTTTTGGTAGACACGAAATACTTAACAAACCTTACAAAATGAACAATTCAAATCATAAAAATAAGCCTATAATACATCTTAAATTGAGGCACAACAATCACTGTTGTGCTAAAGAGCACAGCAATGACCCTTAATCCTAAGAAAAAAATCCAAACAAAATCACACACAAAGGCAAACAAGTAAACTTTCAAACCCCCAAATCAAGGAAATACAATACATCCAAAATAAAAAGACTAATCGGTTTGAAAGAAAACTTTTAGAACTAAATGGAATAACTTTTCTCCAAATGAGATTTATAAATAATTTTTTCAAAATTAAAAATTACACTTATGTAAATTATCTCAAATAATCGCTTTATCATTAATTTCAATACTTCAAAATTAATCAAAACACCCCTAAACTGATTTAAACATCTTATTATAAAAACGGTGATGCTACAGACATCAATTAATATATTAATTAGTGTATCAATATTAGTTATGATATTATTATTAATCTCACTCATTTTACAAATTATAAATACTCAAAAACTCTTAAATTATGTTATTTATTGATATATTAATTAGTAGACTAATTGCTACATAGTGGTGTTTGGGAAGTTTGAGACTTGGGTTTTTTTTTGACAAAATGACAAATTTTTTGCAAAACTAAAAAAAATACATCCAAACAAAATATTACATCCAACCCCATAATCATTTTACTTTTTTTCTAACAAACATCACATCCAACCACAAAAAAACCCAACTATCTTTCCAAAAAAAAATTTCTCCAATAATATCCTACAACTAAAAAAACCAACATAATAACTCACTTCCCGAACATCCACATAGTATTATTCTTATAAAAATGGTGATATTTAACCTTGAACATTTATAACTGTTGGCGTAGTTAATTAAGGTCAAATTTGACATATCTTGAAAAAGATAAAAGGTCAAAAAATCACTATTCTATTTAAATCACATCACTTCTCTAACACATCATTTCAAACATAATCCAAATTCAACTCATATTTTATAAAAAATCAAAAAATATATTTATTTAGATCACCATAAACAACCCTTAAAATCACTTCTACGGTTACGAGTTGATTTAACCTATGAATTTTAGAGTACTCCACATGGTCTGATAATGACGACCGTTACAACAATATGCGTTTTGACTCTGTACTGTAAAAACTCTCTCTCTCTCTGTCTCTCTCTCTCCACAAACCTTGGAGATTATTACCCTTTCCTTGCTAACACGTGGTTGAGATTTAACCCCAGGTAAAATGATTCCACTGTCAGCGTACTTTAGCAGATCCACACCCCACCAAACAACTCGGTTATTGCTAAAGTGCGCTGGTAGTTCAAAGGAAGCCCTCAAACCACCCTCTCTTGGTTTTTAGGGGATTTTCTTTTTAAGTACCAAAACAAAGTCTGAATTTAGAAGAGAAATTATAAATTGGAAAGTGGTGAGAGAGAGAGAGACAGAGAGTTCATACATATATAAAAAACAGAGCATAGGACTCATGGTTAGATATAGAAAGAGAAACAAGAGAGGGTGAAGAGAGAGAGAGAGAGCACTGTGCCTTTATATTGTGAGAGATATTAGGGGGTTGAGATCTCTTCCTTTTTAGGTATACTTGCCCGTGTTATAAGCCTCTCTGCTTCGAGAGAATCAAGAAATTTTTGGGGCAAACAGATCACCAATCCACAAGACCTGCAATGGGTACGAGCCATTGTTCCCCTTCTTTCTCGTTTTCTGTTCTGAATTTGTGTTTATTTTGTTTTTTGGGTTTCTGGGTATCTCTTACAAGTGGTGATTTGAGGGGTTAGATTTGTTGTTTACTGTGTTCTCTAAAAATTTGGTTCTGGGTTTTCATTGGGTAATATGTGGTTGTGATTAGTTTTGGTTTGAGTTATAATTTTTTAGTTTTATAGCAAATAGTGTCCTCAATTCATGGTTTTTGGGCTATTATGACTTTTTTATTTTTTATTTTTTCTGTTTTTTGGGGGATTTGGTCTCTGCTTCTGTTCTGGACTCTGCTTGATTTCACTTGTCATCTCTGCTCTGCTCTCTCTCTCCCCCTCTCTCTCTGTCTCTCTCTCTCTCTCTCTGTCTCTCAGTGTGTGTGTTTCAATGGCTTGGTGGATTGCTGGATCCTAAACACACACAAAACCCCACCACCCAACTCCACATAAAAAGAGGCACTAACTCCTTTTTAAGGTGGTTTAAGCTTCTTCATTGGCCTTCTTGGTATCTGGGTTATCCTGGTCCTCTTTACATCTCCATGATTGGTCAATTTATTTCTTCTATATTCTCATTAGATTCTTATTACCAAGCTTTTTATTATTATTATTATTATTTATTTATTTATTTTATTATTTTTATTTTATTTTTTCAGTTTCTTCTTTTTATTTTTTGTCTTAATTACTTGCTTCACACTCCTGGTTCAGTATCTTTGTTGTGATTTGGATTGGTTGTTATTTTGCTTTATCTCATTTTTTTGTGTTAATTTTCCCAGAGACCACAAGGAGCTTTTCACAGGACATAAATGATGAATATCAGAAATTCATTAGAAGAATGAACCCACCCAGGTACCCATATTCTTCATCTTCTTTTCTCTCATTGAAAGTCACTTGAATTTCTTGCTCATAAATATGTTTCGCTTGTTGTCAGAGTTGTGATTGATAATGAGACCTGCAAAAATGCCACTGTTATACAGGTATGCCTCATTTTTAGTCCTTTAAGCTTTTATCAGTACTTTGAATTACCTTCATTGGGATTTTTGTATTTTTCTTATCTTTGAGATCTTGTTGGTACATCTGCAATTCTGTGATTCAGGTGGACAGTGCCAACAAACATGGAATACTTTTGGAAGTTGTACAAGTCCTCACTGATCTCAACCTTATCATTACCAAAGCTTATATTTCCTCTGATGGAGGCTGGTTCATGGATGGTACTAAAACCGCCACTTTTTCATTTTCCTTCCTGTAGTCACATTCTTTAGCTGTTTCTTTTGTTTCTTTGGGCTTGAAAAAATTAACTTTCGCGACTTTTGCCAGTCTTCAATGTCACTGATCAAAATGGGAGCAAGATTACAGATGAAGAGGTTCTTGATTATATCCGAAAGGTGTGTTGAATTTGGCCATGCTTACCTCTCTAATCTACTTTTATGTGCAAAACCCACCTAATTTCTTGTGTTTATGCTCAGTCTCTAGGGCCAGATTCGTGCTTTACCTCTTCTGTGAGAAGATCGGTTGGGGTTAAACCATCAATGGACCATACTTCCATTGAATTGGTTGGCTGTGATAGGCCAGGACTACTCTCTGAAGTGAGTGCTGTCCTCACCCACCTCAAATGCAATGTGGTTAATGGCGAGGTGTGGACCCACAACACGCGTGCTGCAGCTGTGATGCAAGTGACCGATGAAGAAACTGGCGGCGCAATTACTAATCCGGAGAGGCTCTCTGTAATCAAGAAACTTCTCTGCAATGTGCTTAAGGGTAGCAACAAATCAAGAGAAGCAGCTAACACTGTTGTGTCTCATGGAATCACCCACACTGAGAGAAGGCTTCACCAGATGATGTTTGCTGACCGAGACTACGAAAGGCCTTGTGATAAAGCCTCGGGTGAGAAGCAAAAACCAGATGTTAGTGTTGTTAACTGGTATGACAGAGACTACTCTGTAGTTACTATTAGGTCTAAGGATAGACCAAAACTTCTTTTCGACACAATATGCACTTTGACAGACATGGATTATGTGGTTTTCCATGGAAATGTTGATGCTGAGGGGCCAGAAGCTCATCAGGTATATAATCTTCTTTCTATTGCGTACATTAACACTTTTAAATGAGCTTTGTTTTGGTTAAATTACAGAGTTTGAAATAATTTCTTGTGGCATTTGAAGGAATACTGCATCAGGCATATAGATGGTGAGCCTGTGAAATCGGATGCAGAGAGACAAAGACTGATTCAATGTCTTGGAGCAGCTATTGAAAGAAGAGTATCAGAGGTATTGCCTCTAACCCAAATCAGAAATTCTCAAGTTTTACTCAGAATTTAACCTTTTCCATTTCCCTGCTCAATTTAGGTTTTTATTTTTTTTACCAATAATACGTAGTGTAGGTTAATTTTACCAAGTTTGGTTCCCTGTATATTATCTTCTGTGATGCTTATGCTGTTGAAGTATTTGTGATTCCAAATTTTTTATTTTAAATCTGTGGCTTGCTGATATTTTTCATGTTGAGTAAATTTTTTTTTATAGATGGTCATGTTGAGTTAATTATTTGCACCAAGTAATCCATTCTTTTGTCTGATTATGTTTTGTTACATCTACTTGTTGTGTCTTAACAGATGATGTTCTCTGATTAAATCAGACATGCATTGTCATATTGATGTGGACTTGCAATATTTATAGTCCTCAATGTTGTGCAATAAGATACTCATATATACAAACATTATTTTGTTACTTCTGGTTCCCACATAGGCTCCACTCATTTCTTTTCCTTTCTTTTATTTTATTTTCTTGACAGTTCATTTGTTTTTGAATCATCCAGGGGTTGAAGCTAGAACTATGCACAACTGACAGGGTTGGGCTTCTCTCTGATGTCACTCGCATCTTCCGTGAGAACAGTCTCACTGTCACAAGAGCCGAAGTTACAACTAGATCAGGGAAAGCTGTCAACTCGTTCTACGTCCGCGATGCCTCAGGGTACCCTGTCGATGCCAAGATAATCGATTCAATTCGACAAGCGATTGGGCAGACCATACTCCAAGTGAAGGGCAGCCCTGAAGAGATGAACCAAGTTCCTCAAGAGTCTCCCACTAGGTTCCTCTTTGGTGGCCTCTTCAAGTCCAGATCTTTTTGCAATTTTGGCTTGGTTAAGTCCTACTCTTAGCTCTTAGCTCGCACCTTATGTACATTGAAACCCCTCACACTTGTCCTCTTTTAGGATATGTGTGAAACCAAAAGATTAGAGTATCAAAAGCATGTCTCAAGAGGTAGAGAAAGGGATAGAAAGAGTAAAGTGCCGGTACATATGCCCTCATTTTCACTTGTTTTAGATCTTTACTTGTTAGTGTGTGAGTCCAATGCCGTGTTGGAGCCACAATAGGAGAGAGATGGAAAATAGTTGTATATACTTGCTTTCTAGCTCTTAATTTTATGGCCTTATTATTAGTCAAATCCTCCTTTTTTGTTATTTAAATCTTTTTTGTTATTTAAATTAACTAGCCTTTCTTTTCTTTTCTTTTTTTGTGTGTGTGTGTGTTGCAAGATTTGTGATTTATTATGGTTAAATACTCTTTCCATTTCTTTCCACAATTTTGTAGAATGATGATGGAATGAGTAAGGTTGACATTGTATTCATCTTGATGGAATGCGAACTCCATTCATGATTATTTCAAACATCGACAGCACTATTTTGTGTACCTTTTTTTTGAAAGAGATGTAGACTAGACTTGAGGTTGTTATTAGAGGTCAATTTAATTTAATTCTTTCTATGAATAATTTAAATACATAGTCCAACAAAATAAATAGTTTTAAGGTAATATTTATGTAGACCTCATAAACTCCCAATATTAACTCATATTTCTTGCATTATTTTTTTTATTATTTAATTCTTGAAAATCAAGGCCATGGGTTCGGCAAGGCGGCTTGTGTATCTCTAGTCTTGACTTTGGTTGTTAGGAAACTACGGATCCAAATGATTAATTGTTAGATGAGGACAGGCACCAAAGTATTCATCCATATTTATGGAGTTAGTACTTATCTAGTTGGTTAGTGGCTGGATTTCTATTTTATTTTTTATTTTCTAGTTGATTTGCTACTCATTTGGTTGTTTTCTTTTTGGTGATCTGTTGGAATGGAACCCACGTAATCCTCTCTTCATGTTATACAAGTTAACCACTACGGCATACGCCAATCACAAATTCAAAATAAATATATACTTTAATTTGGGGATTCTTAGAATTTTATTAAGAGAAATCACTAGGATAAGCTTTATTGAGGTCAAGAGAGAGGGGTCTGGTGGATTGACTTAAGTTGCTGTTGCTGTGGTTGTGGTTTTCCTACAATTTTCTACACCTTCAAATGGTCCAAAGGGTAGCGCAAGAAAAATATATTCCAATTGGAATAAGACCAAGCAACTAAATAGGAGGAGTTTGGTTCATGCAACTCTTTGGGACAGTTTAATGCAAATTATTATAAGTTAAAAATTGATAATAAATAAGTGGAAGTCAAAACAATCCCTTCTCAATTTTGAGATAATTATTATTTTTTTCTCAACTTATTTAAATTATCTTTAACCAATAAGTTATAATATAAATTGCATCAAATAGTTTAATACAAATATAAGCAATTCAAATAAGTTGTATTAATTAGTTTCTTTATCCAAGTGTGAAAGGGAGTTAAAAAAAAAATAGTTAGGGATTGAAACGAGTACGTTATTCTATCCATACATATACAATAAGACACAACTAACTTACATGAGATAAAACTTATGTATTTAATCAGGATTTTGTCGTTTTCTGATCAAATTTTGTATCCTAAATATTTTTTTCCTCGATACAGGTAGGGAACCCCAACTCCACCTCATCCCATTTAATGGACATTGCCCTCGTATATGACTTTACCTGTTAGATTCTCCCCCAACCTCCACCCCTACCCTTCCTAGTCCCACCCCACCCCACCCCACCCCTCCCTGAACCATTTAATTTTGCAATGTACATTTTTAATATTTAATTTTAAAATTCAGAATGACAAGTAATTTATATAAGGTCAAATTATACAAATTTAGATGTTGGGTCAGTCACATTATATACAGAGGAAAAAAAAATACAAGATAAACAGAAAGGAAATTTTTTTTCGAAAAACCAAACAAAACAAGGTGATTATTTTTGTTTTCAAAACATTAAAAAAAAAAAAAATTATGGTTCCAACCATCCAGAGCTAGGCTAAGACTAGTAGAAGTACAAGTTAAAATATTTTTTTTTGGAAGGGGTGGGGGACAATTACAAAGCAGGGTAGTTGACTAAAAATATTTAATATATAGTAGTAAAACTCTTTCCTGTATAAAAAACCACAACAAAAATTACACCCCACAAATATTTTCACATTTCTGTAAATATTTTTTCGAACTTCTCACTCGTTAATATGTATATATATATATATATATAAATATTTTAAGTGACTATCTACAAAGAGCTTTCCAAGAATGACATCATTAATAACTTGTTGAGGAATTGGTGTATGAATCCTTGAAGGTTTGAGTCCATATTTTCATCCCAATGACCACACTTATGCGGATCTAATTCTGGTGTATATCAACATCAATTACTTCATACAGAGAGGTTTGTCCCCTGCCTGCAAATCAAACCAAACCAAAATGAGGTCTTACTACTCCCATCTCCATTAGTCAAAGCTTATATGAGCCTCCATTTCCTTGATGGAAAATTATTTAGTGCTCTTGAGCTAAGGTCATGTAGTATTTTAATTTGATTTTTATTGGTTTAAACAGTGAGGCCAATCACTTTTATATTCGGATCCTTTTCAATACTTTTTTCATCTAATTATTATCTAGCAGTTGATTCAAATGTCACAGTTTAACACTTTTATGGATCAACTACTAGATGATGACAGGATGAAGAAAGTGTTAGAGATGATTCTATTCCATCACTTTTAGCCTTTCTGGTTTCCTTAATTCCCAATTGACCTTTCTTAGGTTATGATTTTCTCCCAAATAAGGTGCAACTTCCTTTTTTCAAAATCATTAGACCAAATGAAAATTTTATTGATATTACCTAATTTTTCATGTGTGAAAAGGTGACTAACAGACTTGCCCATGGCATAAAGTGGGCAGATCTAAAATCACTGCATGAATGAGAGCAGTTTTCCCAACAATATTTAGGAATTTGGCTTTCCCACTCCAAACTCTGTTTTGCATCCTTTCAATCAACTCCATATAGGTGTTTTTAGTGATTCTTTTGTGAAGTTGAAAAATTCCCTAGTGTTTCCCTAGGCCATTGGTAGGTTTAATTTTGCAATTTTTTCGAGAAACTGGTCCAAAAGTGGAAGGAGAGTGAAAATTTTTATTTTTGCCGAGCAGACATGCAAATTATGTTAAGGATTTCCATAACCTTGCTAGCTTGGGCGGGGTTTGCTTTAGAAAACTTGATCTGATCATCAACAAAAAAACAGATGGAGGGTGTTGGGACCTTATTTAGTGGGCTTCATCGGTCTCCAAATTTTTATAGTAATGATATGAGAAATTAAATGAGAATGTTCTTTAATGAATACATAAAGAGGTATGGTGATAGAGGGTCATTTTGTCTTCATCCTTTTTTTAACACAGAACATGATGAATTTGGTTATTTCGAGAAATCAAATTCAACGTGGGTGTTTTTTTAGAAAGGATCAATTGACTTTATCATAAGTATTTTTGATCGATCTTAATAGGTGTCCTTCCTATCTTGCTCTTGGAATTTTCCATGGAATGAATGACTTTGTTAGGATTTGCATAGGAAAGAAAAAAGAGAAGACAAGAGTAAATATTATATTTTTTCTTTCCATTAACAGTAAAAGTGAGGGTCATTAATAAAATGCTGGATTTAGAAATCCTAGTTTTACAAAGTACAACTTAGTAAAAAAAAATTAAATTTTTCAAAAAATTTTAGACTTCTAGATTCTACTAAACAAAATGAATAGGAAAATTAAAAAATGGAAAAAAAAGTTCAGAAAAATAAAAATAAGCCAACAATAGTAGGCTGTTTTTTTGCTTATTTTGGATTTTTCTTTCAAGAAAAATTTACTTTTTAGATTTGTATACACAAGATGGGCCGAAAAAGTTTAAAAAAAGAAAATAATTTTGACATAATTTTAAAAAAAAATGTCGCTAAGAACAAAAAAATTCAAAAAAGAGATGGCTTTTTATTTGTTCATTTTTTAAGTTAAGCAAAATAAACTGCAAAATACATTTTGGCAAACGGAGACTTAGGCCCCGTTTGGTATAGCTGTTAAAACAGCTTATAGATTATAACTTAACAGATTATAGATTATGACTTTAATCAGAATTGTTAATCTGTTTGGTGTACCTGTTGGATTATAGATTTAAGTTGCTGAGTAATGTTTGTTAAATAAGCTGTGAAATAGCTTTTTCAATTAATTTTTATTTTTTGTTTGTCTACATTTCTCATAAAAAAAAATAATAATAATCTATAGTCCATTTGAGTCTTTTTCTATTTTTAAAAAAATAAAAAATAAAAAAATTTAAGAGTATAACCATAAATTAACATATCCACAGCAGAAGCTAATAATCAGAAGTAAGGGATGAGCAACTTCTCAGAATCAGCTTTTTTGAGTTAAAATAAGCTGTTAGAATCAGAGGCTGTTTGAAATAAGTTTAACCAAACAGTCCAAAATAACTTTTTCAAAGCTAAAAATCATAAGTTGGCTCTGAAAAGCTGAAACAAACACCCCTTTAGAAGTTTTGCATAAAGCTTTCATTTTTTATTTTTTTTTTCCTTTTCTATATGTTGGCAAAAACATTTTTATTCCATGCAGTCACTGCTGTTGTCACAGCATTCTCGAGAGAAGAGAGTAAACCATTTTGTTAATCTATATGAATTAGATCTTGTTCAATGCATCATTCAATAAATTGTTTAGTCCAAATACAATTTGTGTCCATATATAGCTGACTTATTTACCAAATTCTCGAAAAGAGAGTAAATTATTTGGGTTAAGCTTCTCTCCATTTAGATCACTAATGAGTAAAATGCTCTACTGGAGTTGGTGGGTTTATCTGTAGCCCACATCGATTCAAAATTATTAATATTATAAGATTTGTTGAGTATATTAATTATACAATATATAAATCAAATACAAAATGTGATTTACAAAATAAACCATTTACATTATACATCACCTATTTGAGGGAGTCCATTCCTTATTTGCTTATTTTTGTAGCATTATCATTATTTAATTTTACAGGCATGTATTTTCGAAGGAAAAATTAAAAAAAGTTGATCAATAGTCAATGATTTTGAACATGTAAAGTGTTTGGAGCTGTCCTATTGTTTGATTTAAATGAAGATCAATTGATGGCAGTATAGTCACTGCAAAATCATGACTATTCATCCAAAACAAAATTTAAAAAAAAAAAAAAAAAAAAAAAAAATTGACTTGTGATT